GCTCATTTACTGCAATAGCCTCCTAACCAGTTTCTCCACAACCACCTTTTCCTACTCTGCACCAGCAGCCTGAATGATTCTTTTAAGCCAGGAATCATAATACATCATTGTTCAATACATTCGCCTGGCTTCTCATCTCAGTCAAGTTTTAAAAGCCAAAGTTTTTACATGGTCTTCCCCACCACCCACACCATTACTTGTCTTTATTTCTTACTACTATTTTTCCCTCTTTCCACTCCAGCCACAGTTACCCCCTAGATGATCCCTGAATATATGACAGAGATGGTCCTGCCTCAGAGTAAGTCATCTGGTATTCCCTCTACTTGGCACACTTCCCTTCCCTCACACAGATGTGGAATAATTATGTTATCAATATGCTTTAAGATACAAGCTACGATGAACTGGGTACATACCATGTGCCAAATACCATGCTAGATATAGTGCATCTAATCCCCAGACAACTCTGAAAGGTAGGTATTAGCTCAGTTTTACAAAAGAGAAAATGGATGCTTAGAGAGGTTTAGTACAGCCATATAACCTTGGGCAGGGTAAGAAGCAAAGCCAGATTTGAAATCCGTATCACCTGTTTCCAAAGCCTCTGTTCTTTCTGTTACACTCAGTCTGTATCCTTCTTTCATACCAATAAAAATTGTATGATATCACATAGATATATTTGTAATTATTTTTCTACCTACCTTGTTAAATATGGTGACCATAAACATGCCCAATCTTTTCTACATTATAATAATATAAAGGTATTCAGCATAAAAACAATGGTGAGAATAAATTTTAAAAGCATTATGCAATGGAGAATCACCGTACTTCTAACGAAACATGGTTATACTATAAATTATAATATAGTAAATAAAAGCAATGACTAATCTTTTTCAATAAAATGCAAAATAAATTGGCATGGCTTTTACATCATTTGATTATATTAACACTTGTCCCATACTACAATATCATTAAAAACTGACACCTAGCTTATAAAAGAAGTATCTTACCACACATAGAAGCATTTCTATAAGATGAACCCATCAAATGTTCAGAGTTATAAAGAATAATTCAACCACAGAAGTAGAATTCCCAACCTGTTAACAATAAGGGCCACACGGTGGCAGGTGACCTATTTCTTCAGCGTGTTTCTCCACAGATATTTTCCCCAACCACAGGACCAGTGTGCCAGTTCTCCACCAGAATGTTACTTAATCTAAATTTTACCAGGATGAAAATACCAAGTATGCTAGACTAAGTAAGTTAGTTTCCTGAAACAATCTTTTCATCTGACTTCAAAAAAGTCAGAAGATACTTCACTAGGTTGGAGGTCAAACTGTGTAGTCAGGTAACTTCTGGACTAGTAGTTCTCAAAGTGTAGTCTAGAGAACTCTGCAGGCACCCGAAGCCTGTTTCAGAGGTCCAAGAGGTCAAAAATACTTTCATAGTATTACTAAGATATTATTTGCCTTTGCACTCTCATTCTCTCACAACCGTACAGTGGAGCTTTCCAGAGGCTATGAACTGTGATATCTTAACAGACTGAATGCAGAAGCAGACATGGAAATTTCGATGTCTTCTACTATGCCTGGCATTAAAGTTACTTGCAAAAATATAAAACAATGCCACTCATCACTTTTAAAAAAATACATAGTTTTTTTTCATTAAAAAATTTGTTAACATTTAATACTTTATTATTTTTAAATGAATTAAATATTTTCTAAGTTCCTCATTTTTATTCTAATCCAGTAAATATCAATAGATATAATCAAACAGAAGGTCTTTGGGATGCTCAATAATTTGTAAGAGTATAAAATGGGTACTGAGACCAAAAAAATTGAGAACCGCTTTGTAGCCCTTCCTATATTTATGTTTTGCCAAACAAAGCATTTAATTTTCTAATTACTACTGAAGAGATGTTGCTGTCCTAAAGATAATTTCAGAAATTTGTCTTGATAAGAACAAAAAAAGTCCACAGTCAACCTTAAAAAGAATTGTATCCACTAATTTAAAAAAGAAATCAATGATTACATCTTCCCAAAATAAAAACAATAACAATGTTAAAACTAAAGTGCAAGCTAATAGGCCGCTATCAATAAGCTTTGGACATGAGAAGGGCTAGAAGAGAGGGATGTCTTCTAACAAAAGGGGTCAGGGAACATATATCTTGGTAAAGAAGGCATCTAACCTGGGCCCTAAACATATATAAGATTTCAACAAGTAACCACTGGGAATGAAAGGCATCACAGAAAAAGGAAAAAGCATACATTCAAGGAACAGCAAGTACAAAATAGCTTCCATAAAACTTGTGATGGACTCCAACAGGAGAATAAACTGGAAAATTAGGTTGGAAGCAAAAACAGAGGGACTTATATGACAGGATAAGTAATCTGGGCTTTAGTCAGTAGGCAAAGGGAAGCAAGCCATTGGTAGGTTTTTAAAGTCATTGGAAGATTTACCATTGGAAGGTAAATTATCAGATGATACTTTAGTAATACTGTGGATTGGACAGAGTAGAAACAGGGACAACAGTTAGTGCACTATCATACCAATGCAGGCAGGAAATAATAAGAGCTTGATCTGGGTTAGAAGCTAGGAAAAAGACAGATACAGGACATGCTGCAACCTCTTCACTAATAATTTACTTAGTTTAAACATTTCAAAAACTTTATTACACAAAACAAGATTGGCATTCACATTACTTCCATTAAAAACCATTCACTTCATAGGCAGTATTTCAACACACTCAAGTGTGCTTCCTTTTTAAAAAGCTGTTAGGAATAACTAACAGTATTCTACATTAAGACTACAAAATGGGTAATAAAGAACACCATATGCATATTTTCAATATTCTAAATAGACTTTCAGTATGCAAAATTTCATTCAAGGATGAACATTTTAAACTCCAAAGTTTAATGTCATTAAATACACAAAGTTTGGATCAGAATTTTCTATACAACCCTGTAACACCCACATCACTATATAATAGTCAACTTTTCTTAAAATCATTTTTGGACAACTCAACTCAACTTGGCCAATATTCTTCTACAAGGCCCACATTTTTCAAACATTAGTGCCGTCTTCATTTTTCTCCCCTCCTCCCCATTCACCTCTCCGCCCAACAAATTCCCTTTGTATGTCTGCAAGGCAAGACACAGTATGATTCTAAGGCAGTTTGGATATATAATTCTTATAATAACAGAAATCTAGAATTACTAATCTTACTTTTTACAGGAGAGGAACCAATGGTGTACTAAATTTCTATTCACATGAATGACAAATGCATCTAATAGAAATTATGCTTTACTATTAGGGGTGAACAAAGGGGGAAATACACACAATAGGTGGGTGGCAAATCTTACAAACTTTATGAAAGACTGAAAAGCTGCATCTGGATTGCAGTCACAATTATAAAAGCAAATAATGAAGGCTCAAAAATGAAGGCAAAAGGAAAAAATTCGAAGTGATCATTAAGAGTGAAAAAGGTTGATTCAATATTGGTATATTTTTAATATAGCATCATTTAACTCTGTGACTAATTGAAAAAACACACAAAGAGGATAATTCACTGTTCATAAGGACAGGAAATAATTTCTGCATACATCCTATAATGCAGTTATACTTCATTACATTTGCATGGTTTCAAACCCTTTCAAACGTTTCCAAAAATACATAGGCTTATAATAATTGAGACTCCCCAATGACATAATTTATTCGGTAGATATAGCTGTAACACATTTTTAAAAGACATAACAAATTCATGCTCAACAAAAATAGGGAGTCACAAAGGCCCTCACTTATTCAAAATAATTACATAAAGCATTATCCATAATTGCAAACAGGGTTTGAAAATCTGATAGCTAATAATTATAAAATGGGGTAGACTTTAAAGAAAAAAATTACCCAACTTTTCCATTTTCCCTTCCTTTTTCTTTCCTACCTCATACACAAAATGTCTGTAAGGATCTCAGACAAAGCTCTAAAGTAGAAATACAGTATATGTATACTTTATATGTATCCGAGTCTATCATATATATATGTATGTCACATATATTCACATAAGAAACGTTCTTCCTTTTTTAAATGTAAGAATTGAGGTTACATTAAACCCTATCCCATAAATTAAGTTAAATCACCACAAATTAAAGAGTAATAAAATATTGCACGTAGATGTCTCTGAGCGACTATATTTGGAAAAGGAAAACCTCACACTAAGGCCATGGCTGAATAAAAACGCCCAATCCCTGAAAATCACTAACCGGCATTTGGTTTCTGTAAGAGAAAACGGGGGTCTTAAAATGAATAATCACACTGGCAAGCCAGTTTCAGAAGTTAACGAAGGTAAAACAACGAACCAAATGAGACAAACGTATGAAATGACAAGCATTAAAGAATTCCCCCCAAAAGAAAGACTGACTGGGATATAACGCATGCATTGCAAGTAGAAGAATCTTTCATTGAAAAAGAAAAGGTGGGGGGAGAAGCGACAAAAACCTGAAGGCAAAAAAGTAAAAAAAAAA